TTTTATTTGATATTCTCATTTTGTTCAGCATTATCGAAAACCTCTCAATCCAAATTTTTAGCGCATTTGGTTAAGCCGGTGAAAAGTTAGCTCAATTTTACTGTCGAACGCTCACGATGATATTTGAAAAATATCATTAAAAATCGTTCGTATAAAGTGGAGATTTTTTCGATGGCATCAAATTAACGAAATTTTTCATGTAATATACCAAAAGATAGAGCATCGAAAGCTGAACAAAATTACCTATTTACATATTATTTTTCCATGGACTAACCCATAGTTATCTATGAAATACTGTCCATGACCCATCATTTTTCGAGTGAAAAATAAGTGAATTTTTTGCAATGTATTGGCTGCCATTTAGTCATTTTATGAGATCCCAGACTGAATTTCACATATGTTGTACAACTTTTTCTCCTCTACAAAATGGTAAAAAAAAGTTTAAAAAAAACCTTAGAATGGTGTCAAAAAATGCCTTACAATGTTGACCAACTAGACAGCATTTATGAGGAAAAATTATTATAAATATATTTTTTTAATGAAAAATAGAACTTTTAGTAGATTATAAACTATCTACAATACTTTTCATATAAATACGATATAGTTCAATGAATATGTGCTCTGCACAAAGTAATAAATCAATAGGTATTGTAAGATAAGAAAGTAAGATCGGTCAGCTAATCTTAGATAGGCATCACGTCATACAAAGAGAGATAGAAATACTTTACAACTCCTTTAGTGTCTATTCGAACTTCATTTGTAGTTCTAGAGTTATTTAAATAGTTGCATATTTACGTCATAAGAGGCAGGACTGTTGGCCACGGTAAAGAAAAATCTTTTCCGTGTTTCTCCTCTTCGGCACGTAGAGTCCATCCTGCTTGAAGAGGAGGGACATTACTCGGAAAACCCGTGTCCCCATATTGTTTATGAGTGTTACTCGGAAATCCCGCACTCACGCAAACAATATTATTCTTGAATGAAAGTCATTATTAGAATGCAGGTCATCCAAAGGCATTCGTCCTCCAAGCGACATTTTTTACTAATGATATCAGAAGCAACAATATATGTTAACTTTTTTATGATATTTATCAGGCTATTATTCATCATATAGTGGATTCTATAGTAGCTAATAATTACTATCTATATCAGTGATAAATGCTTTGAGTCAGAAATATAAAATATCATCGACGAAAAAGGTATTTTCGTGACATTATTCTATCCGTTTCCGTCATGGATTTTTGAGCAATATGTAAAATAGCGTCACTATTTACTTCAAAGCGAAAGAAGCGAAGCTAAGGTTTGTCAGGAATAATTAGCTCTCGCCGAGCTATCAGTCTGTTAGTTGTTAAAATGTTTTCAAGGTAGCTCAGGTAATCATCAGCTGCAACAATTTATTAGGGGTAATAATCGGTGAGATCAATTCAATATCAATTGTTTATGTTCAAAGGATACCTCAAGAGTGAGTAGTAAGGATAAAGTTTACCACAACATATCACAACAACTACTACGAATATCTCGTAGAGAGAAATAAACGGCATGTCGTTTTCAAGAATGAATATATCGCTGCCCGGAAGCTCTTGAATCAACGTATGAAAAAACAGGGTTTATGAAAGCCCACTGAAAGATTTGTGGATCAATGGTGTCCGAAAACATATTTTAGATGAGACGGCGCGGGGCGGAGCGGTGACGGTTTCATTGCCGAATAGGTGGGGCGGTGACGGCTTGAAACTTTATGAACGGGGCGGGGCGGTGGCGGTGTGACTTTTTGGCTGCCCTGTCCATCCCTGATGTGTTCAAAATTGATAAAATCAACAGCGAGAAGATTACAATATTTAATTGATAAAAATAGTTATCCAATCAACAAAAAAGACTATGATGAGATGAAAATGTATAAATGAAGCTCCAGTAAAAGCTCCAGCTTGTGTTGAAAGTCCATACCAAAAAAGACCTCAATGACCAGATGTTTTATTAAAATATTTTCCAAGTGCAATTCGTTCATAATAAAATATTAAATAAACAAATACCCATATTATTGCCTACATTTGTTTAAAACAAAATTCTTTTCCCATTAAATAAAAAAAGAAAAAACAAAAGGGTGGGTGTGGGTGTGGGTATTAAGAGAAGAGTTTAATCACCACCCACACCCACACCCTATAGTTCGTAATGAACGTTTGACATGAAAAATAAACTTTTGACATAGAATAATTTTTTTTCGAAAAGTTCATTACGAACTATAGTTAGATTTGAATAGATTTTCACGAACGTTTGACATGGAAAATAAACTTTTGACAAAGAATAGGTTTTTTTCGAAAAGTTAATTACTAACTATAGCTAGATTTGAATGAGCTTTTATAAACGTTTGATAAGAAAAATAAAACTTTGACATACAATAGTTTTTTTCTGTAAAGCTCATTACGAACTATAGTTAGATTTCAACGTATTTTTACAAACCTTTGAGATGAAAAATAAACTTTTGACATAGGAAACAAAAAAATATTCCATCGTGATCATTAGACTTATCGAACTTAATCATATAACTTCTTATAAAAAAAAAAAGATCTATTTGTAAACAAATGTTTACACGGCAGTAAATCATGTAAACCGTCGTGGTTGTCGTAAACATAGTGTTAGTCTATTTTTTTAGTAAAGTGGATTTATTAAAGAGTGGGGAAGAGAAAATTACCGACTTTGAATAGGTTGTATCACATGTTGTAGTTCAATGAAGAAAGGAAAAAATACGAAAATATTTAGCTTTTTTAGTATGTGAAAAATAAAGAATAACAAATCAAGAACGATGGCTCATAGAAGAAAGACTTGCACAAGAACAATAACTCACATGATCAAAGGAACAAGACAATTAATTCAATTTCCAATACATGTAAATAGTATGACGAGAAAATTTTAATATCGAATAATCACTACATCAAAAGCTGTTGTCTCCATTTAGAGTGCATCAAAATACTCCATTTTATTCATAAATATTCTTTTAGTAGTTTTAATGTTAGAAACTTTACTAGATCACTAAATATCTCTTAAGTGTCTATGACTCATGAGAATCAAAGAAAACAAAAAAACATGAAAATAAAAAAGAAAAGCTATAAAGGAGCAACTATTTGTAATCGTCGGCTTTGCATAATACCGCGAACAAATTGTTAGTATAATGCCTGCGGGATTCAAATATGAAACATCATGGAACTATTGATATTACAGACGAGAGGATTCACTAACAAAAGTTTCTGTTTGTAAACTACTACCTACTGTTAATGTATGTTGATGATAATTGTAATAGATTACTGTTAGTGTAGAAGAAGGACAAATGGAAAGTATTTTAAATTTAACTATGTTTTATACTAATTTTGAAGGATGGGTATAGATGTAGGAAGTGAAGAATCCAAATTTCTATTCTTATACTCATTAATCCTTTTAAATTGTGTTTTAGAAAAGACCTTGAGTATGATTATTCAAAGCAATGAGAATATTTTCAACAAATCAAATATCGATTATGTAATATTCTAATTCTCAATATAACAAACGAGTATCAAATTAGAAGATATGAATGTGACAAAAAAAGATATGGTGATGTAATGCAGATTTTAAAAACTAAATATCGTCTCGTTATAATAGCTATTATACTTTTTACATATATTATTTACTCATTTATTTTGAGTCTTTCTCATAAATTAAATTTCTATGAAGAGAATAAACAGTGATTATATACAACGAAACGTAATCATTTTATGAGTCTTCTATTTTGAATAAATAATATCATTATTTACATAAAATTGATTGTTGTAAGAAACAAAGCTCGATCGAATGTATTATAATTGAGAAACGGAGACGATTTTCAACTTTACTTTTTGGTCGAAAAATCCATTTTTTCAAAAATAGTGGAAATTTTCTGATCTTTTCAATTTTTATAGTTATATATTAATTCTTGACATATGTGTTTAGTAGACATAGGATAGTTCGAAATGTATATAGAGCAGAAAACAAAAGAAAAAGTGTGAAAATTTTCGGTCGGACAAGGCAAGAGGGTCTCTAAAGAAAACTTGAACATATTATTTATTTAGTTGTACTTGTCGGTAATATGTTTTGTTTGTACACGTAATGTCCAATTGCATGTCTTTTCTATTGATTACAGTTTTAGTGAGCTAATAGTTAGATAAATTAATAACAATAGTTTATCAAAACAGATGTGATTAACTAGAAATTTGTAGTTTTTTTTTACATAAAATGATTTATTCTATCGATGAAACTAATATTTGTCATCAAGTTCATCGAAATATATAATGGAATTTCGGCTAATGACGAGAGTCCTCTAACTGATTAATCGTTTTGAGTTGAAAGTATGTACATTATGTAGATCCTAACGAGCTATGAATATCTTGAAAAGAACTCGAGTCCTTAACTGATTGTCGTGGTTCTTCTCACTAAAGCCAGAGATATTGGTTTTCGAATTTCGATTTGAAACTTTACACAGAGGCAGGCCTTGGTGAAAATAGCCTTATATACATCGGTGCATTTCGATGTTCTTTTTTTTGGAACAGAAGCAAATCATTTAAAACTTTCATAATGAACTATTTTCATTAAGACTTGTCTGTATACAAAGTTTCAAGTCAAGATTTGATAGTCAGTCTTCCTGCGGGGGACGATGGTATTCGATTACAAAATGCAATATATTCGTAGCAATCAAGTGATTAACTATTTAGAGAATTTCCCTCGTAAGTTTTATTATTCATATCCAAAATGAATAATTGATATTTTAAATAAATAATATTTCCAGTAGAATAATCTATTAAACAATTAATTATTTAGGTTTTTCTTCGTAATCGAAACAAGAGATTTTATTACTGATGAACATTATAAAAAAAAAGCGTAATTATTTAAAAAGAAACTTTAAATTTCGATCGCTTGAAACAGCTTTCTTTGATGTATTATTTTTATATTACTAATAATAAAATATAGACTAAATTAGAATTTTCTTTCAATGAAAATCTACTTTAAATAATATACATTTGCAGTATACATGGTTGAACATCAATACCACCATCACTAGCTAATCCAACTAAACATGTACCACTACATGTCAATGCAACTTTACTACAATTTGAACTTGTTTCTTGTATACTTGAAACAAGTTGTCCATTCTAAAGAAGATTTTTATTTATTTAGACATGAAAAATCGTATTTTTGTGTACTCAAAAAGTGAGTACACTATAGAATCGGTCAGTGTGTCCGGCAGCCCGTTTACACGATAACTGTTCACAATTAGATTCGATTGAGCTGAAATTTTGTTCACAGAATTGTCTCATCAATATCTCGGTCGAGTTCGAAGATGAGAAGGATCCGTCAAGAAATGGCTGAGTTATCGAAAAACTTGTCATTATTGACCAGACCATCCCTGAGGGGAAGTACAGGGATTTTTTGAAAAAAAATATTTTTCTCAGAATTATTCACAACATATATAAATCGACTCAGTTTTTAACGCTGATTCCGAATCTGATATTAGTTTTATACCAAATCGTAGCTTTCTAAGAAAACATCGCCTGAAAAAGGTCTCAAAATGCACAAAAACTGCATTCAGAAAGTAAATTGCCTAGATATGTCTCAGATGATAAAAAACAAAGTGAATATACCTGTTCACTTTTTGAAGTACACATAGCACTCGGATTTAAATCCGAGGTTTTCGCATTTATTTGTTCCGACCTCGGTCGTGAGTGTTTGCTTATTCTAATGTTTGTTAAAATTTTCTATTGTGCCTAGTCTTATTTGGCGCATCTTCCCACTAATTGGTGTGATTTACACATCCACACAGTACTGCAAGAAGATAAAGATGTTTCATATACTCAAAAGCCTATAGAAGTTATCGAAAACTCCAATTCGTGGAAGCAAAATTGAGATCAGCAAAAAGCTTTTATTGGAGCCTTAAACAAAAAAATAGTCGACCTCCCAATCCACCATTAGAACAGAATAATAGATATTAAAATGTATGACGAAATCCTTCATAAAAAATATTTCAGAGATGAACTTGGAAAAATCGAGGTACTGGTCCCAACAAATCTTCAAATTTCGAGATCACACATTTCTATCTCAGACCATCTCGCTGATTACTTATTTTTATGTATAAAATAAAAATTTTCTCATACAACAGCATCCTATATTTGTGATAATCGTTGACTTTGTCCAACAATAGCATATTATCCATTTGGTGCCATATTAATTAATACTTTATGATAATCTGTTTCAATTACATGTTCGAAAATTCAAAGAAAAAAAAGAATAAAATTTTTGATGATGTGTATCATGTGCAAAGTTACCATAACGCGATGACATTGCTATCAGGACTTGCATAAAGTGCTAAACAAAAAAAAACAATTATCATCAAAAATTTCAAAAATAAAAACTTTGTCATTTTCAGTTTGTGTTATTCCTGATGTATCTGTTACAAATGGTGCATAACCAGATCGAGGACCATCTCGTAAACATGCACCTTGTGTATATATACATACAGCAAATGCAAATACAAATGAAAATGATTGTAAATCAGAAACAATGACTAATATCCAACCAATAGAACCAGCACGATCACCTTATAAACGACCATGATCAATTAATATGATGTTTCTTAACACTAATAATAGAACCGGCAACGATCTTTGTAACAGGTTTCACAATAACAAATAATATTAGCACAAAGATAAGCTTAAACTTAAAAGAAATACATATGAAATAATTCACTTTTATATTGAATAAAAAAAATCTGATGTGATTTTTCACATTATAGTAGACTATTGCCTTTCAAAATATATTAAACATACATTCTTTTAACAAGAAAACGAATATAAATTCTTTTTTTTTTGATTTTAAGAAATTCACCTAAACAACTTTAACAATGATTTTCTACATGCCCAATTGAACCAATACATCGAACTACCCTTCAATCATTCATACAAGTATCACTAGAGCAATCTTACCGTAAAGATAGATCAAGTGTAATAGAAGAAAACAAAACTTAGTTAATAATGTACATTCGCTTTCATGTGCAAATAAAAATAAACCAACAAACAGAAAACGTTAGAAATATGACACGGCTTAAATAAGACTGGTGTTCTGTTCTAGAGAATACTCTTATACGTTATTTATTGAAGAAAAATACATAGAAAACGTTAAGAAAATAAGTTTAAGGTGTTTGCTTTATTGTCTATTAAAGAATGAAGCCGTCTTTGTCTCCTTGTGCATCTTTCTTGACCCAATCATCATCTGCTTTAATTTTTACACTTTATAACACACAAAATCTTGCTATCTAAGAATGTCTTGAGCAGATGGTTCGAAGGAGTGTGATTCGCTATTCTTAAGAAATTTTCAGTTTTCTCTACCGAAGTTCCAACATTGGTCTTCTGAATCCTTGATTCTTCTTTCAATCCTGGTGGTCTTATATTTCATTTATATATAGAAGATCAGCAGAGTAGTGTAACCTCTATAGAATTCCTGCTTAACGTTTAGATTTGGTCAAGATGAATAGTGCTTAGTAGATTTATTTTGCCGGAATTTAGTTTTTGACAAAGATCAAATTTGGTAATCTCGATCTCAAAACTTTGTACACTTAAAGATCTTGATTAAAATATCTCATGTTTAATAAAGTTTCATCAGTTTTGAATATTATATTATCAAGATATGGATTTCTCAATATATTTCTAACTTACACAGCACTTAAGGAGAGTCTGCTTCTCCTTTGTAATTCAAAACTTTTGTTGTTTTTATGACCATTGCATAGTATAAAGTAATATCTAGCCATTGAGTGCATTTTGGAACCGAAAAATTGTCTTTAAGCATTAAAAAATTCCAGTATATTGTTTCGTTTCTTTCTTAAATCATCATTTTTCCTACAAAAAAAAGAGTGTAGAAACACTCCTGTTTCTCCGACCTTGTATTTCTAGATCTGTGCAGCTCACAGTTCTAAGAAATATACAAAATAAAATTTTTCATATTGCTTGATAAGTAAAGCATTTATTATTTAAAAAAAAAACATGTTCGTTTTTCATTAATATTTTTGTTCATGTAATGTCAAAAAGAATTCTTGATAATTTTTTATCGCATCGAGTTGTTCTTTTACCATGGGTATTTGATTAACTGACATTATTAATTCATATACATTTGATAACATTTGATTTTCATCGTTTGAATATGCCTGATTAAATTGTTGTTCGTATTCTCTTTTAAGTATTATCAATTTATCAACTAATTGTGAATTAAAATTGTTTTGATCATAATTTTGACAAATATATTGTTCTTCCTTAATCATTCTAATGAGACCCAATAAAAACGGATCATCTTGTTTTGTCTGAGTTGTTGTTATTAAAAAACGAACCAACTTTGTACATGTTTCATAGAGAACTTTTCTTTGTTCGTTCAAAATTTCGATTGATTCATTAGTTTGAGCATTGAGAAACTCATAACTGAGTTTATATTCAGTTGAACTTTGTTCATTTGAAGTGCACTAAAAATATATAGATATTTAATGAATAGGGTGTGGATTGTGCAAGTTTCAAGTCGTTTGATTTACTCCTATTCTGAAATAAGAACATCAAATTTACTTATGTATATAAACAATGTAAAAGGCACGCTTTTACCATAATTGTATCCGTAGGATAGGAACAACAACCAGATTTGAAATTTTTACAAGAAATTCAAAAAGCTACCGTAAAATTACAGTATTTTTGCAACAATAAGTCAAAGGTACGAACTCTTTTCAGGATATTTATAACTCATTTTGATCTATATCATGCAGATAGTCTCGATTCAAAAATAATTTATCACTAAGGAGATTTACTTCACGAGAAGCAAAATATCAGAATTATATATGATCAGCTTTCATAATATACAATAAGACTAATAATTAACAACATAACTTCTATGTTCAAGTTTTCGAATAAAGAATCCTAATAACTATTAAAATGAATTAAGTTGAACATTAAGTTTTGTTTCTAATAGTTTACAAGAAACAATTTCAATATACTTTTAATACTAACCGTATTCGGCAAGAGATGCAGACAATCTAATAATATCCAAATATGACCAAATTTATAAGCAGTACGATTACATGTATAGCAGATAATTGCTGGCTGCTCAACAGATGTTGTACTGAGTTTAATCGAAGAATTTGTCTTATATAAAAGAATATTTCGAAGAATATTTCGCATAGCTTCCAACATTGGACGAATCATAAGATTGATTTGTAACTGAGCTTCTTGAATTGATTGCCATTCAATATTTTTACGATATGGTTTAACTTCATGACAAATAAAATCTCGAAATCGTTTTGATTCTTCAACAGATCGTAACCAACTTTTTTCCAATTCTTTTTTATCATCTTCATTAAATTTTAAATGTTTTTGTAGTGCAACTAAATATCGAAAAGATTCACTATCAAAACAGAATGTATTCTTTTTTTTCAATGGAATTTCTTTTATTGGAAATGAATCAAAAAATGATTTTAATAATGGTCGAGTATTACCAGGTGTAAAGAAAGTTGATCGAGCATTCGTAAAACAAAAAATCAAATGATTACAAATATTTGCACCAAAAAATTGAAATAATTCAGTAAAACATGAATATAAAAATGGATTTAATTGATTAACATTAGGTTTTAATAAGAAACAAATACAATTCAAATGTGTTAAATTATTAATATATGAAAATATGACTTTCATATTAAGTTCATCTTGATTATCACCTCGTGTATCTCCAAAACCAGGTGTATCAATAATACGCATTCGTTTTTCATGACACTTTTCAAAGACATATGATCTACATTGTTGAGTAACTGATTGTCCTGACTTACTATGATCTTCATTAGAATCTGCATTACCAAATTTAACAAGTTCTTCATCAAATTTATCGTTTATTGCAATTAAAAATGACACAGGTATAATAACAATAGGTTTTCCAGATTGAGCTTGTTTAAGTGTATCAAATTGAAGATAATTAGCAAAAGCATTAATAAATGTTGATTTACCAACTCCTGATTCACCAAGAAGAAGAATATTGATACATTCATTATTTAATGATAATGTTGGCAAACGAGCTTCTTGTGTTGTTTTATTTGGAATCAAATTCAAATTTGATTCACATCTACTGATTGTTTGTTCTATTGACGATAGAATTACCATCTTATCTAAATACCATGTACTATAAGTAAAGTCAGCATAGACGAGACTCATTTTTGGATTTCTCTCGCGTAATGTATTCATTTGATAATACATTGTCTCCCATTGTTTTGATGATTGTTGCATTAAAATATCAGTTGAACAAAAAATAGCTTTATTAGAATCATTTCTAAAAAGTATATCGGTGATTAATTGTTCATTATATCCTTGTTGAATTCCTAATTGAACAACATTACAATACTCAATTTTATCATTTTGTAGTTTTTTTATTAATTTTGCTTTTGCTACTAAGTCATTAATGGAAGTAAGGAGAACATTAGTACGATCTTTAATTTCCTTGGGTGGTTCTAAGTTAATTTCGTTATTGAATAGAATTTCTGGCGATTGTCCTTGTCGGACTTTAATCAGTGAATCACGAAAAGATTGCATATAAGATTCATGAAAACATTTTAATTCTAAGTAATCATCATAAGCATTGTTCAATTGTTCTTGTAAATTTCCTTGTAATAACTTAGGTAAATCGTGATCAAGTTTTAATTTTAAGATTTTCATTTCAGATGTTCGTTGAACTAAGTAGTATTCGAGATAATTAAAAGAAATTCGATCAGTTTCAATTTTTATTGTATTATTACTATTCCGTTGTGGAGTGGATGGCCGAATAGAACTAAGGATATATCTCAATTGACGATGTTTGTCTAAGTTTGTTTTCATTTGTAAAATTCGCTTATAAATATCTTCCAATTTGATTAACTGAGTTAAATCAGGTAGATTTGAGTAGCATGTAGTAAATATGATTTTATCCATAAGACGTTTCATTTCCAGTGTTAATTCATCATTATGAATTAAATTATGACATATTTGTCTTAATAAACAATCGATTTCAATTTCTTGATCAGGCGGTAATTGTAAAATAACAACAGCATGTATACCCCAAATAATTTGAGCTATAATATGTGTTGCATTTGTTTCTAATGTGGTTAATTGATGCGAATTTATTTTTTTGATTAGATCATTCTGGCATGATTCTATTCGACCTTCTTGATATATGTATAAAAAACGAGTATATTCATCAATTATTCGAGGATAATCAATAAGACAAGCAATACCAGTTGGTTGAATCATTTTTAAATGGATGCTCAATCGTAATGATTGAATAATATCAATCATTTTAAGTAAATTTTCAGTATAACCTGTATGGCCTTCATATACTACGCATGTAAATGGTTTTTCTGATTTAGATAACTGTGTTTGATAACTGACACCCGATTTTCCCAATATTTGATCTTGATATACATCATAAAACGATCCTACACTACCAGATTGATCAATAGCAGTGCGTTCTATACTAGTTATATTTACTTCGTCTATCCCAGAGTTTTCCTCAGAAAATAAAAAGTTCATTATAGAAGAAATGATTGACATTATTAATAATCAATCTAATTTTAATAGTTCAAAATTTCAAATATGAAGACCAATAACAGAATAGCAAAATTTTTGTTACAACGATTACAACCGAACTGTTACCACTAATAGGATATAAAAAATCTAAATTTACAAGATTGTTGATATCAATAAAAGAAAAAGTACTTCAAAAATTGTATGTCTATGAATGCAATTTCTAGTTTAATCACTAAGCAACAAAAAAAACATGATACTTTCTAATAATAGATTAATAAAAATCTATTTTCTCATTAATTTAAGTTTAACACAAAAATAATGTTTACTATTCAGTCGGACAATGTTGCAAGTGGATATTACCATGATTTTTAACTAAGAACAGCAAGTAGATAGATCTTATTTTCATATATACTTACATTTTTTCTAGTTTCTTTTGGGTTATGAAATAACTGATGATAGAAATTTTAACGATTATTTTTTTTCTTAATGTGACCTGACTTTTAAGAACATATTTCCACTATTAAACTCATATGATAAAGAAAAAAATTGCTACATGCTTTTCTAACTTGAAATCTCTTAGTTTTTCTTCTGCTTTTTGTGTACTCAAAAAGTAAGTACACTATAGAATCGGTCAGTGTGTCCGTCCGTCCGTTTACACAATAACTTTCGAAATGAGAGTCAGATCATGATGAAATTTTCTACACAGTTCAGTCTCATCAATGTCTCAGTCGAGTTCGAAGATGAGAAGAATCCGTCAAGAAATGGCTGAGTTATCGAAAAAATTGTCATTATTGACCAGACCATCCCTGAGGGGAAGTACAGGGATTTTTTCAAAAAACAAATTTTTCTCTGAATTATTCACAACATATATATATCGACTCAGTTTTTAACGCTGATTCCGAATCTGATATTAGTTTTGAACCAAATCGTAGCTTTCTAACAAAACATCACCTGAAAAAGGTCTCAAAATGCACAAAAACTGTATCCAGAAAGCAAATTGCCTAGATATGTCTCAGATGATAAAAAACAAAGTGAATATACCTGTTCACTTTTTGAAGTACACATAACACTCGGATTTAAATCGGAGGTTTTTGCATTTATTTATACTAAATCTACTCATTTCTGAAATCTAGATATGGTACGCTTGCATAAAAGGTTAATGATAATTATTTTCAGAAGATGCAATGTGATTTATATGGTAGAAGTATTATAATATTACTTCAAAAAAACAAAAAAAATGTTAACAAACCATTGAATAGAAAATAAAAAAGTGGAAAACAATTTTTGCTATGCCTACCTTATTTTATAAATGAGAAACCGTGCTCGTTTAGTTATTTTTCTAAGTGATGTAATGTCAACAGTTTTGTTTTTATTTCACTCGTAATCAGAGAGAGAAAAGTAGTCAAAAACAAAGAGAAGAACACGACAAAGTCATTCTTATATCAAATATAAAAGAAGATAGTTTTATCACTACCTGATCCTAGAAGTAACAGAAGGGAAAAAAAAATATTCTTAACACACAATGACACGTGCTGTGTGCGAAAAGAAATATTAATAGTGCATAAAAGACGAAAAATTCCAAGTTAAACAATTTGAAAAAACAATGATGAGTGTGAGTGATAAGAAAATCTGCACCCATACCCAAAGCATTACTTGCTTTCATTTACTTGACACAAAAAAAATATACAAATGTTCGGATACACCGTAACTCAGATTTACTTATTTCTAAAAATCATCAAATATGTACGAATTTTTTCGAAGTAACAGAAATATTAAGATAGCCTTCAGGTGTTATATAACTGAAGGGAAAGAAAATAACGATAAAGAAGGAAATTTTACTTCCATAAATAATCTTATGCTAACATGTTCTGCTCAGTAAGATCTCATCAATAATCATCTATGAAATAGTTCATCGAGAAAAATCATCTGAATTATATTTTACTCTCGTAAATCTCATAATTTTCTGCTCTATGTGAAAATGTTGACTGAAAGAGTTCTACAAGCATCATATAATATCAAAAAAGTTTTCAAAAGCTTCTATGTACGTCTCACAATATGTTAGTAGAAGGAGGGAATCAAATATCTAGTTTATCGAAATAAAGTCCCGTTCTTTCAGTCTATGGCCTCCCTTCGAAAATATCATCATTCGATAGACAATCAAATGATGCTATTCGTCACAAGTCCAGAGCTAATGTCAACAAGAAAAAAATCGGATCCATTGCTAATTTGCCTTAGGTAGAAAATTTTAGCTTCCTGTTTGCAGAGCTTCATATAGAAAATCAATTAAATTTGTAACTTATTTTCGTTGTGATGAACAAACAAGAATGCTAAAATCAATGTTATTAATCTGTCGTGTTCACCACAATACTCTTATATTTCCATAGGTAAATCATCAAAAAAACACAAAAAAAAGAAGCATTATTCATAGACAAGAACTTGATTTTTCCACATCAATTAAGATCGTCAAATTAAAGCTACAATAGTTAACGTCTGTTAAAGTTCGATAGAAATGCTGATGAGTAATGTCGTCACTAAATAAAAATTCCATTCAAAAAAAAAAAATTCTTTGCAACTTTTATTATCTAATTTTCATTCATTGATTTATTTGTAGTTCATTAATCATTCGTTATGAATTCAAGCTTGAGTATTTTGCTTGATTTGAATGCAAACAAAATTCTCACTTTTGCATACTGATATAGATGATAATTTTCAACTTGATAATAATTAAATTTTTCTATTTTGCTCGTCATATGAATATTTAAGTCACATTATTTTGATTCAATATTAAACAGTTTTTGTCTTCAGAACAATAAAATTAGCACTGAAGTAAATCGATAAAAATAATTCTTTTTATTATTTGAGTAGAACTACATGCTCCACATTAAAACTTTAGGATTATGAATCTATAAAAGCTGCCCAGGACAAACAATCTCAGACGTTAAGCTCGTTAAACCGTATAATATACTCTGGATAATCTGACGACCTTACATAGATATCCGACTAATTCCGATAGGATATTGTTAAAAGTTGTCGGATATCAACTCCATTGTATATAAAGCATTGAAAAAACTCCCAATTTATCTAGATCATGTTGAATTTCCATTAGAACAGACCAACTAGTACGACATTTGATGACTAATAAAAAAAAGTTGTACACAATATCATAAATGATTGAGTATTGCATCTTTTATTACTATCTTATTATCATGCTGTAAAAGTCATTACATCTTTCTACTGTAACATTTATTATACTACTCGTGTGCATAGCATTTGTAGAGAGCTCAATAGAAAAAAAATACATTTTTATTACATTTTATTATTATTACTACATGACTTATTATTCAGATAAAATCTTTTTTTCCTATAGATTTATCGAATTTATATAGTAATATCATCATACAAGACATATTCATCGAAAAAAAAATATTTTAAATATTCCTTTTACTTCTTCTAAATATCATCAAAGATAAGATTTCATAGATTATTTATCATCAAATTCAATCAACAAAATCCAATGATAACTAACAATCGGAAAATAAAACATGTCAATGGTATCTGACTGACAGTTTTCTTCACTTGATTATTCATGTAATCATCAATGCTACTTGCATTAATGTACGTCAATAATATTCTTCTTTATGCAATACAATAATGATGGTTTGATGATGACATTATGTGTTTCAAAGAAAGTGCTTTCTACACGAGATAATAACGTTGGCATTAGGATAAGACAAAGTAGCAAAGAATAATACATAAGACAACAATAAAAATTTATTGGAATATATATATATATATCAAAACTTGTTCTATTATGTCTCATTTATTTTCATTATATTATATAAAAAGGTTTCTTTTTTTCGAAGGGAAAAAAACCACAAACAATTTTTAGGGTTTCAGAAGCCGAAAAATAATTTTAACCTTAATCCTTTAAGATTTTTTTTAGCTCGAAACCGTTAAAACAAGACATACTTTCTTATAAATATATTAGTTAAAGTTCGAATTTCGAAAGAAATTAATTAATTAACTCTCGATCATTATTTTCATTTTATCACACAAACAATGTTTTGTGTGTGTGTCCCATCGGACCGACATGTAAATAAATAAGAAGAACTTGATTTACACTAGACATAGATGAATCGAAGACTTCTCTCATGATAGTTTCACATACGAAAATATTCGCAATTTAAAAAGATATTTTTCTAAGAGATTATTATAATATTCCAATGTTAAAATACTATTGAAAAAACTAGAGCTAGAGATTGAACTGAAGCACAAACAAGTTATATTGATATAATAATCTAATCGTATTAAAAACGAAAGAAATTTCTTTTTTTTTGTTTAATATGAATTCATCATTGAACTTTTCTCATGTGATAATTATTATTCGCAAATGTTAATATGAGCTTTTTACATTTTTAAAAGGCTAACGATTAAAAACTAGATCAATCGGAAAAGAGTCAATATTAACATAGCAGAGAACGAAAAACAATATTGTTAGTGCAGCCGGATCCATAAAAAACACTCGAAGGTTAAGAAAAATGTTCTATTACGGGAAATATTTAGTTTCTTTTCGTTTGATCATACGATCACATAAATATTGATGAAAAATGTATAATTATACACTCTAGATCATATTCAAAACAAGTATGTTTGAAACTCATATTCTTCCCAAATAGAAGAAGAATAATACTATTTACGTTATCGTTGAGTTCGTTTAAAATTTCAATATAAAAAAATATATTTCAAGAATAACTCTATTGTTTATTTTATTTTTACAAAATGATACAAAAATATTAAAGTTTTTAATATGAAAAAAGAAAGTCTACTTTTTCGACGATATTGATTTAGAAGAAAAAGACAAATGATGAATTTTTTTCTTTTAATGACAATTATTCTTATATAATTCTTTTGTCTTGTGATCAGTCTTGAGCCATTTTTTATGTTCAGAATTGCTTGTTCGGCAAATTTTCTTCTTTGGTTTTACTTGACTTTTTTGAAAAAATTTGTCATGCCATTTAAACTTC